ATGAGTTTTATCATATGCTTTAACTCTCATGAACTAACCAAATATTTGCAGACCAACCAAGGAGCAGCTGATATTGATTTGCAGATAAGTAACAATCAAGAAGTTTACATCCCAGCAGTGAATCAGGTTTGGGTCTTAATTCTCCTACTAATTAACAATTTGTTGCTAGTTTTTAATTCAATTTTTATTACTAGAAAATGTTAATGTAACCACTGATTGAAAAATCAAGTGTATAGTTGTGATTAATAACTCTCACGCATTAATAATGTTATGCCTATTATGTTTCAGGATGAGTTTCACTATCCAAACCAGAATCATGATGGAACTCAAGACCAAGGATTCATTGAACAGATGATGAAGTATGGTGAGGAAACAAATTTTCCTTGGATGGATCACAAGCAGTTCTAGACAGCATCTATTTGGACGAAGACGACAATGCCAACAATGTTATATCTCTTTCGTCTTTACAGATGATGTTGTTCTCATGACTTCTCTCTCAGTCACAAATCTTTGATTTGTGGTTATGTCTTATATTTTTAGTTTATCCAGTTTAATTATGTAATCTAAACCTCTTCCTAATTCAATTTCTGGACTATATTATATGATGATTTTGCTAATTTCCATATAAAAAGAGTTTCGGGTATGTGTCTTTCTCGGTTCATTGTCATTGTGTTAGGCTTTCCCAACATAGTCAACCAAATTTACAAGTGATAGTATGGATATGGTAGTGTTGTATATCTATAAAGATCTTTTCGTATCTATAGTTTTAATCTTCTACACGTTGTGTAGAGATATATGAACCTTTATGTGATTAATAAAGTATCAGTTCACACTTCACAATCACTTTATATGGCATGAGAGCTAATCTGATGCAAAACCCTAAATTTCTTGACGCTTTCCTCTTCTTCTCTTTATTCTTCTTTCTTTCTCTTATGAGAGTGAGCTCAACATTGGTGCAACTTTCCAGTTTGCACATCCGGGGTTTTCACTCTCGAAATGAAGCATTTTGCTCTTGATTATCACTTTGTTCAAGAGCAAGTGCAGAGCAAACAACTTCTTGTCTCTTATGTTAGCTGCAAAAAATCTAACAAGATTTGAAATTAAACAAACGAGAGACTGCAAAGATACTAAACATAAGATAAAAGACAAATCCCAGGTCAAAGAAATTGATTAAAGAGAAAGAGATACAACTTCCAACAAGTAATAATTCTTAGGCCATAGAACACTAAGCAAGACTAACTCAATTCCATGACACTAATCTCTTTACTAATCAATCATTCATCAACTTCTTCTGAAGACAATCAAATAATCAATAATATAAACAAATATATATAGTCACTAATAAACCTCGTCAGCTATTTTTAAGGGTAATAGATGAAAATCACTTAAAGGTTTTGGTCCGGGAATTTCATCGAACACCTTCTAGGCATGGAATTCAAAAGTTCTAAACCAAGAGGACCAAGATTGATCTAGCTTTTTTTTGCAACCAATGAGTGAGGATCCTAAACAATCTAGCCCTAAACTCCATTACCCACCATCTAAATCACCCTAATCTACCTTAAACCAAGAACTCTAAAAAACTACTCACTCATGATCATGAAAATACAAAACAGTGAGTTTGATCTTTGTAAGAACATGTTTAGAGAAAAGCATAAG